ACGGTTATAAAAGGCGATTATTAATGCTAAGGTATTATATAGAGACATAGAAAAGCAAAGCATGAAGTGAAAAATATATCCGCCATGCCGACAGTCCTTCTTCCGGACACTACAACAGCTCCTCGGGGTCTGTCTCACCAGCCCCCAGCGCCCCCTGCTGGCAGGGAGTCACACTACGCATGTGCAGTGATGGACAAACGATCCTTTAATAAGATCAAAGAAGCAATGTCACAATATTATTTTAATATACGCCATTAAAAGTAAAATTCCTGCACTTGACATTTTATTAAGTTAAAGTACAGAAGTATTAAATTCTACTTAAGCACTACTTAACCCTTTCATGCATGAATTATGAATACCTCAGTCAAGATATTTTCTCAAGTGTTTTTATTCCTCTTCAGGCCTGAAAATATATTCCAATTTCATTTTTTCTACATGTCTAATCAGGTGGACTACTTTCACCTCCTGTCCCCCTCCCTCCCTCCCTGTTTAAGCTCATAGCTCTTGACTCTTTAGGGCCCCCACGCACATCTCCTCCTATTGAACTGTGTATTTGTTTCAATGAACATTTTCTACAGAAATACAAAAATGTTTTCAAAATATTATTTTTGTAACATAGACTTCAAGTTGCCCTGTAATAACATGAACCACTTCATTTACAGCACAAAAGTAACTGCAGATTAACTTAATCTGCAGTGACTTTTGTCGTTTGAGAAAATACTTAATCTGATTAAGTATTTTCTCAAACAACAAAGTTGCAGTAATAGTATTAATTCTAGTTCAAATATAACCAGCGATGCATGAATTCAGGTTCAGTGGACAGATGGATAATGGAAATTTCCTCCCAAAATAAGATCAATACTCGAACATTTTAACAATTGTATTGCTCCTTAGATGTTACTTTATGATACCAAATTTAATTTACCAACAATGGTCTCATATTATAGAAGGATATGGAAGAGTGTGTTTTAGAATAGATTTTAAGATTTTAGGGGCCGTTCAGATGTAGCGTCTTTTGCGCACATAAATCCATTAGTTTCAATGTAGACGCGTGCCAAGCGCGCTCAGAATCCAAAGCGACGCCGTAGCGGCGCGCATTCGGTGCGACATGCCTGTTTTTTCGTGCACGTCCACGGCGCACAGAGATGGAAAAATCTCAACTTTTTCGAATGCAGCAAGCACACTGCATGTCATGTGATAAGAATTAACCAATCAGCTCCACAGACGTGCTTCTTCCTTTCTGTCCAACGGACTTCACAACATCCGGTGGTGTGAAAGGCAGCAAGCAATGGAGGAGCGACTTATCATTCTTGTCCAGGGATACCCAGAGTTATATGACCTGTCTTCGTCGTACTGCTTTGACTCCAACAGAAAGAACAATGCCTGGAGAATTATCAGCTCGGAGCTTGGGATAACTGGTGAGCGTGATGATACGCTATTTTTATGGCTAACGGTTGTGCCCTGTGACTGACAGGCGGTTTTGGTTGCTTAGTAACTGCAGGCGTGACAGTAGCGCAACCACCGAAGCGCCTTGGATAAAAGGATGGAAACGGCACAGCTGGCGTTTTTTCATGTGCTTTTAGACGCTACATCTGAACGGGGCCTAAGGCTGATTACTTTTAAGGCTCTTCATGGTCTCTCTCCCAGCTATGTCTCCGACCTCTTTGTACTGTACATGCCGGCATGGGTGCAGATCCCGAGGGGGATGGGGGGACATGTCCACCCAATTTCTGAAAAACACAAATTGTCCCCCCCAATTCTAAATAGTCTAAATGATTGAAATTGAACAAATGTATTTTCTGACTCCACATTCCCAATTCTAAAATAAATGAAAATTATGGAACAAATATTTTTATAAATATATTTTCCACATTCCACCTCTAGTCTACTATAGGCCTCCCTCCCAGCCTGCTCTGTTGCAATGCAACTGTGAGCGAGTAACTTAAAAAAACAAACAAAAAAAGCTGAACTCTCTCCACTTTCTCTCAGCGACTGAGCAGCAGTAGTCAGTAAACAAATGCCTTTCTAAGAGTAATTCTAGAGTTATTTTGATTAAAACTTCCTCAAAAAAGGAAAGTGTGCCCATAAAAGATTTAAAAACGTAATCAGATTCTGTTTGGCGCCTCAAATGAAGTATCCCTAGCCAGATCCATATCCATTGCAGCTAAAGTTAGCTAGTTACTTAGCCTGCTAGTTAATGTTACTTAATGTAACTTTAATTGATCAGGTGTTCGTTTATATTAGCTATATTACTGTGAGGTTAGGTTAGCTAAAGTATATTGTTTCATTAACTGGTGTCCTGTTTGTGTGTGAGCCAGGTCAGAGTATGACAGAACATGGCAGAAAGCATGGCAAAGAGAAGGAAACAGCCACAGGACATTTTTTCTTGGGGCAAAACGCCATTGTGTAAGTAAAAAGACCGTGGCCCCTGTAATATTACAAGTAATAAGTTGATTGATAGAGTCCTCGTGGAAAATGAATGAATGAAAGAAGGGTTAATGCAAATTTTCAATAATTGTACCATTAGGCAACAGCAGATGTATACAGTAGTCCCATACACTGGGAGAAAGGGAAGATGATGAGGAGGATTGGGAATCTGTGAGAGGCGAGAGATGAGAACAGTGGACATAACATGCCTGAGACCCTGAAACTATAAGTAGCATTAACTAACAGCGAAGCAGTGAAAAGGAGGGTGATGGCTGGCTCCATGTACTATTGGCTGTTTAAGAGTGTAGTGCTTTTTGAATGACTTGGTGATGGTGGTGAGCCTCTATGAAATCGTGAAATATGCTGGCAATCTCAAGCGCTCTGTGGGCATGATTGTGCAATTAATCTAAAGAAACAATCACAACTGATTGTGTCCCCCCCAAACTTGTCATCAGATCTGCACCCATGCATGCTAGGATGTACTTCGAGGGCCTGGGGCAGAGGTCTTCTGTCTGTTCCAGAGGCCCAGCTGAAAACTAAAGGGGACAGAGGCTCTGGAACAGTCTGCCCAAGGAAATCAGGTCAGTCGAGTCAGTGATGTCTTTTACGTCCCTTCGTAAGACATACTTTTATCGTAGAGCCTTTCCTGATTTTACCTGAGCTTTAAGTTCATTTAGACTGTCTTTTATTTCCTCAGTTTTTATATACTGAAGTGTTTTTATCAGTGTTTAAAGTTTTCATGTCGTGTCTGGTGTAATTATTGACATGTAAAGCACTTTGTAACTCTGTTATTATTTTTATTATTACATTCCTGAGTTGCACATTTGTTGCATTCTGTCGGCCGTATTGGTTTTGAGAGATTGGCGTTGCACTTACAACACCTGGCCAGTGGGTGGCAGTGTATGTCATGATGCATTGGGTCCACTGAAGTGGCTTGTATGCAACTACAGAATCAAAATCAATGCATGTTTTCTTCTCCCTGACACTTGGCCATTGTTCTGTCAGCTCTTTAGTTATTTTAATTGTGTACTCTTAATGCAGGATGAGGTTGTTTAGCAGAGAGTAAGGGCTCGGTGAATATAGCTCATGTTCAGGTCTTCACCCTGCCCTTATCCTTATCCTGCCCGAAGCACTGGCATCCCCCAGTGGGGTTCGGATCCTCAGGTTGGGAACCAGTGGGTTAAATTAATTCATATTGATTAGAGTTGCAAGTGGGTGGAGCAAGTATTTAAACGTTTTACTTTAGTAAAAACAATTATACAATTCTAAAATACTCTGTTACAAGTAGGCTAAAACATGGTAAAAGTTTTAGCAGCAAAATGTAATTGCAGTTTGAGAACATTTTTTACTGAAGTCCAAACTCAAAAAAATACTTGACCATCCATATTCTTGTTGATTTAGTGTCTATGGATCAACTATAAGCAATCATCAGTCCAAACAATTCAACACTAATATAAATTATTACCACAAAAATATCCATGTCACATCATCAAGGCTTCAGGGGGGTAAATGTAACATGCCACACTTGGGTGTACTGGTGGTATCACAAGGTTTAAATAAGTATAATGAAAATAATGAGGTATGATGAATATAATCACATTATCTCCTCTTTAATTACAATTGCACAAATGAATTCCATTACTGTCAATAATTGCAGTAATCAGTTATCAGAGACCCAAGCCACACTTAGTGTTAAGTATTTACCTGGATATGGTGGTGAAACAGAAAAGGTCTGTACCTGAAAATACAAGAAAACATATGAAGCCCACTCAAATCTCATTATTTTCATTCAGCCATTCAACATATTCTACATTTTAAACCATCAGGTCACACAAAATACATAAACAATCCTAAATTATAAATATTTTATGACATTACATGTGTGTTCTTCTATAATTTAACACAGTAAATAGTATGTATGTGCAATATGGGCTTTGTGTTTCTGTCTCACAACCAGCTGCCCTTTGAAGAACAACTAAAGTTAATGATTGATTCTGGAAAGACACAAATACACTGTTGAATTTTTAAGCATAATTGACTTTGAGCTCCAAAAGCAACATTCTGTTTACCTCGACTGTATTCAAGTAGAGGCAGAAATCTAAGAGACAAGTATCTCAAAGCCTGGAGAAATACAGTTTGGGGTGGACCAACCCTTTACTTGATAACACGACAGTTTACAAGGTGTAGTGAATGCTCTTTGCCTCAGCTGAATGATATCTTACATAATTGTTTAATAATTCAACCTGCTGCTATCAGTGTCCCCGAACACACAACTTTATCCAGGGAAAAGTATCACACACTGAGCACGACACTGAAACACTGATAGATAATAATTAATTGACAACAACTGATAAAGCTTTGGTCCTTCCTTCCTTTGAGCTACCTTAATAAAAGAGCCGAACAAAGCTCACAGGCCTGGTTCAGAAAGTTCAGTGAGACAGTTGAGTTCAGGGTCACTGAGGTGGTTACAAAGTGTTAAGGCACATCTGTAATTCAGTTAGTGTGATGTAGAGGATGATCCGAAGGGACGTGTTCACTGTCTCAGTGCTAAAACAGACCACAGAGACACACTGTTAAACAATGACCATTTATTCACACACTGTAATGGGACTCAAAACAAGCGTGACAGAGTGAGGGAGGCTGCTGGCTGGCTGGCTGGCTGGGAGGGAGGAGAAATTTTTAAATTATACATGAGCAAAAAACTTACAGATGATTTCTGTTTGCACTTGGTACAAAGTGTGTCAGCCTGGCTGGTGGGGCTGGGGCCGAGGTACAAACAGTGGGGCTTCATGATTCAAAGTTCAATCACACTCAGTTTGAACAGGAATGAATCTCCAAAATATCCTGTAATCTTGTTCCACACTTATTCTCTGCAGCTTATATTTTTTTTTATGACTCTTGTTAAACCGCCTCCTCCTGTTCCCTCTCGTCGCTCAGTGTGGCTGGGGACTCGCTCCAGTGCTGTTTCACTATTTGTTCTGAATTACACAAACATGGCCGAACTACATACAACAGCACACAAGTAAAAAGGGTTTCCCTGTACAAAATCCATCCTAAAAACACAAACATACATACGATGGCACGCTTTGCTTAGCAGTGAACAACAGAGAAGGATGAACAGGCGTCTAAACTGAGCATAGAGCCATTTATACACGCATGCTTGTGCGCACACGTGTCACACTCCAACACACACTCAAACTTGTAAAAAACGTAACAGATTAAAGATGAAATGTTTGGGGTTCGGCTCAGTGCAAGCATTATGGCTTGGGAGGCTGTGGTATAAGGAGCGCTGACGACAGGAAGAAGACGGTAAAAAACATGGTTTTCATATATCCCAACCCAAACCCCGAACACATCGCTCTCAGGAACCACACAACACTCCGCTTCTGAAGAACCCCTCGCCCACGCTCGTCCTTTATCAAGTTCAAAACTGTGATTATTGATTGTAATTTTTTTTCTTTTTCTCTGTGTGGTGGTATTTTAAAGCAGACAGCTTCGTGTTTGTGTACATGAGCCAGTCTGTCAACAAAAGCTGCTCCCGTCTGTGCCGTCTTATAATGATTCTCCTCAACCTTGAAGTTCTTCTCTCCCAGTGGGAGACACTGAAATGGCGCATCGGGGAGTGCATGCGTGTGTATTTGTGCACCTATGTGCTATGTGTAAATACAGAAAACAGAGAAAGAAGCGTTGTGCAGAAATTCCACGTTCCACCGGTTCGAGGTTAAATTCTCTCCTCGACATTTACACAAACAGACTCGTGTGGTCGTCGCTCTTAGCTCTCGTTGGAGAGTCTCTGGAATAGGCATGAGTATCTGGTGGTGTATGCCGGTGTGAATGTGTATGTGTGTGTGGAAACGAGGACAGTAACTGTGTGTGTAAGCACAGTGACATAGAGGCGTAAAAGTAGTAGGAGGGCAACACACACACTTGTCGACACAGTGAGGATCTTTGTGAACGAGGGGAGAAGGCGAGTGAGAAGTGTAGGTTTAGTTCTTTGGGGCATGGAGGGCTGTTTCGTCACCAGTCCGTCCCACATCTCCTCACCTCGTCCTCCCCTCTCCTCCGAAGCCACCGGCTCTGTCTCCTTTAGTCCAAACACACACTGGGCCCCCCTCATTTATTTTGTGTACGTGTGTGTGTATCATTTTGTGCAGACTTTGTCTCTAGAGTCAAACAAATGAGGAGAATCCCGTCACAGGGGTGCGTGACCCCGGAGGTGGGTTGGTGTTAGGGTTGACGTGTGTGTGCGCAGGCTGCCCCGTAGGTGTGTATGCCCCACCCGTGCTGTGCTGGGTGACCACGGTCTGGTAGTAGGGCTCTGTGTCCGCAGTGGCGCACTCCTCGTAGCCAAACGGAGTTCCCATTGGTTTAAGGCTTTTGGGCTGCCGCTTCCAGGAGTTATAGTAGGTGGGGTCGCTCATGTAGTGGTTGACGAAGGAGTGCTTCGGTTGTTCGTCCTCGTAGTCACTGTCTGTTAACTGAACAAACATACAGCAGGGGTTACAGTCTGACAGTTTATCAGAGACAGACACGTAACAGGGAGTGAATTTCTGTGCATCTGTGGGTGACTATTATCTGTAGTTTTTAAATTACTCTCTGTCAGTTTTGCATTTATTTGACAGCAGCGACAGACAGGAAACACTGAGATCACTCGTGTACTCCTTAGATGGCACTTCTAATTCAGCAAGTTGAATCGGTGGAGGCAAAAAGTTGGCGACAGAGAAGTGATTTTAGCCAGTTAGTGCGGCTTCTCTTTATTTTTTTTGCCTCCACCTTTTCTTTTCTTCCTCCACAAGCAAGGCCGCAGGCTGACAATACACGTACAGTACAAAGAACTCAACTTCTGCTTTCAAAGAACCTTCTGTCAAACGTATTCCCAGTTCGTACTTCAAGAGTATGACGAGATTGTTTAATCAGCCTTCACAGTAGTGTGAAAAAGGCAGACTGGTTTGACTTTCTTTCTTCTGTGATATATTTCTTATTCAAAATCTGACAAATCAGGGGCCGCCTGGTAGCCTAAAGGTTTGGGCGCTGACCATCGTCTGGAACATCTTCGGTTCAAATTATTTCGAACTGTTGCATATTGTCCCAAGAATTTTTCTTTACAATGGCGTAAACAGGGATGTATTACTGAACGGGCCTATGTACAGACCAGAAAGAGACTTAAAATGACCAAAAATGGAATTAAAGGTAAGTGCAAACAGACACAAAGTAACTACTAAAATGGGCAGAACAACCACAAAGAGACACAAAATGATCTCAGAGCCACAAAACAACTACAAGGAGACACATGACCACAAACAAAATTTCCACGAGACACCAAACCAGAAATAAATACATAATCACTACAGAGAAACATAAAACAACACCAGGAAAAGGGGCCAAAATCACCACAAAGTCTGTGTGTCTTTTGCGTACATGTGCCCAGGTGTCCATTGTCTCATAGTCCTCCTATACTGTATGTGTATATATCGACAGTGCGACCAGTGCAGCACAGAGGGGCCCAGAAGCTGTCAGTGGCCTAAGTAGGAGGATGATTTTTTTTTTGGCTTTTGCCTTTTATTAGACAGGACAGACTTAATCGTGAAGGGGGGGAGAGAGGGGGGATGACATGCAGCAAAGGGCCGCAGGCCATAATCAAACCCATGGCCTCGCCATTTGACACTATTTTGGCCTTATTACTTCGCTGGCTGATAAGTAGGCAGCTGCTTACGGACCTCCACTGTAACAACTAGAATTCAGCCAGCGCAAACTCCAAGGTTATGATCCCAGACTGCTGTGACTTCCTGCCAGATCAGCAAATGTTATGCTCTGCCAATACACACACAAGCATGTGCTTGTGTTTGGGGTGAGGCAAGGGCACAACAAAAAATATTTGCCCCGTGTCCAATCACACTTTCATTAGCTGCTGTGCCTTTATCTGATAGCACAACAGTGTAGATGCACTATCATCTTAACAACATGGAATGTGTGTTAACTTCTCAGCTACCAGGATGCCTGGTAACACAAGCTCCTATCCGCCTGGTAACACAGGTTTCTTTCCTATCTGGCCAGCAAAGCCTTTGAATTTGAGAGAAAGAGACAGACAGAGAGAGATACCTCTGACTCAGAGACCTCGGTGGGTTTCTCAGTGAGCGTGGTGCTTTCTGTGAGCACGGCTCCATTATAGTTGTTACAGATGTCCTCGTCAGAGTAGTGAAGACCGCCTGGACTGGGCCTGGGAGGAGATCTGTACGCACACACACATACACACATAAACAATGAATGTAACATCTGAAGAATAACCAGGAAGGTGTGTGTTTGTGTGAGAACGAGTGTGCACACCTGGTCCCGTTCTTTTTCAGGAAGGAGTTCTTGGTGTTGAGCGTTCTGCTGTTAAGCTCCAGAGCAGTGAAACCTCCGTTGTCCAGCGTTACTGACTCCTCCGCTGTGGACATGTGCTTCCCTGGAGGTAATGAAGGGAATCAGACAGAAAAGGTTCAGATAAATATTAAAAATTCAGTGCACTTCAGCTACTCATACAGGGCAGATTTTTTTCTTTTTTGGTGAAAGTGTTGCTCTGTACTGAGTTTATGTGCAGTCTCCTGTTTTATTCATTGTGTATTCAGCTACCTCTCAGGCCTGAGAATAAGAAGCAAATGAAACTAGGATGCATAATTTGTCACTCAGGCAATAACCAGCCAGAATACCTTCGTAATTTATCCACCAATAACCCTAACAAATGGAACAATAAAGGAAACATTGTTTTAAATTGGGAGAAATATGATTGCTGTTTGGAACACAATAAGGTGCTCGGGATGATTTAAGGTCACCTGAACAAAAATTTCATTTGCTGTTGCCCACTGACTCAAATTGTTTCTTCCTTCACTCTTGTTTGTGTTTGTGTGCTCATCCCGCCTGCACTCCCTCTCCTCCTACAGCAACCCCCCCTCACTCTGTTTCATCGCTCCACTGCCCAGAGGTTGTGCCAAGGTTTCCGTGGCAACTCAAATTAACAGCTGTCCTGATGTAACCTGCACTTGTCAGGGCTAACTTTGTATTACAGATGTTGACATGCACGCCCACACTCACCCACCCACCCACACACACACACACACACACACACACACACTCACTCACTCACTCACTCACTCACAAAGTGACTGTAAAAGCACTGCTGCGCCCACAACAGAGAACATCACAGGAAGCCCAAGAGGAGAAGAAACTCACATGAAAACAGGAAGAAAAGCCTCAACATGAAGAACCAGAGCTTTATAGGAGTTACTGGGCAACACATCAGATAAACTAACTTTTTTTTCTTTTTTCTTTTGTCATAATGAGGAGGGAGTTTGTCCTTCAATACACGTCAGTAAGCATCCTTGAGTAAGACTGATTTCTGCAGCTCCAGGCTGCTGTGCTCCCTGGCTGACCCTGTGGAGGTGGTGTGAGCTAAAATATAATAGAGCTGCAGATTTGAGTAAAAAAACTAGGAAGTAAGTTAGCTTTTTTCCCTCTGGGATCTCTCAATGGAGGAGTGAATCAGATATGAACAGGGCTTTAGTTAAACTACCTGAGATGAGAACTGTTTAATGTTGATTAACTTCACCAAGGAGGTTATTTTGAGTTTTTGGTTTAGTTTGATGGTTTGGTCTGTTTGTCAGCAGGATCACGGAAAACTTATTGGCCCAGATTTCATGAAACTCAGTGGAAGGGTGTAACACGGGCCAAGGGAGAACCCATTAAATTCTGGAGCAGATCTGAATCACAGGGCAGATACACCAATTATTTTTCACTTTTGTTAACATTGCAAGATAGAGCATTTGGCCGTGGCGGAGGACTGTACTCTCCCAGTGGCCTTCTAGTTTTGCATTTTCTCTCAGTGAGCCACTGATAAATGGATAATAAAAGTTTTGAAAATTAAACTCAAGCATATCTCAAACTAGACTCAAGTGCCACCAGCGTCCCCGATTAGGATAAGCGGTTATGGATAATGAATTAAAGTCTTCACTTACAACATGTCACAACCTTTGCGTGATCACTCTCAGTTAAATGACAACTCCCCAGCATAGTCTCATGTAAGTCATAGCTGTTGTTTCAGCATTAATCTAAAGCCTCATTCAAAAACTTACAGAAATTACAGCGGGGCTTTGGGGAGATAATGTTTCCTGAGATGCTTCAGGGTACTTAAGGAACAATGCTGACCTTGTTTTCCCCTCTCAAACGGCACTTACAGGTGGCGGCAGTCCTCTAGGAACAAGACTGCTTGAGGCAAGTCTGCTCTACATTCAGTACAAGTGAACTTATGCATGTCTCAGCTTTTCAGCATCACAAAAAGTGGAGTGCACTGTAATAAATCAGAGGAGGGGAAGATGTGGTGAGCCTGCTGACGCTGAGTGGAACAATGTGAGTGTGACTGAGGAGAGAAAAATGCATCCTTTGCCAAAAACCATCCCGAATATCACCACTTTGTCACGTTATGAAGCATTGCATTAGAGCATGAACAGCCGAGCCACAGACCTGTGCCGCAGGCCTTGTACTTGCTGCTGTGTCCATGCAGCAGCAGTGTGAAGACCAGGACCAGAATGAGGATGAGTCCCACAAGAGCCATGACCAGCAGGAACCACCACTCCTCATAGAACGGACGTTCTGACAGTGCTGCAGACAGGAAGGGGAGGGGGAGAGGAGGAGGAGGAACACACGAGGGAGATATCAACTTTTCTTTTGCTTTAGATCAAATCGATGCTTTGCTTTGTCCCCCAGGACCAGGAAACATTCTTCAAAGTCTTTAAATGATATTTTTAGAGGACTGACTCTTCTTACTGTCAAAACACTCATCCTGCTGATTCTTCGAACAATTCGAAACAAACACTAAAGACAATTGTAGGTGTCTCTTTGCTCAGATCAGTTTATTAGGTAGAAGACAGGAAGCTGTGTAAATGTCTGAATTTCAGACTTTTCATTAATTATCGTGCCACAGATGAAAAATGAAAATGGAGACACGCTTTCATGCTGTCCTCTCTTTGCACAATGAGCACAGTTGTAGTTGTGAGACTCTGACTCTAGATGGCAGCAGACACAAAAGCACTTAAACAATCACAGTAACTTCCTACAGTGTTTCCAACTGGTTATAAATTCAGTCAAACCCCAATTAAACAGTTTGAATCACCCTGGACGTGTTCATTAGCCTGATCTCCACCAGTGTGTGTGTGCGCGTGTGTGTGCGTGTGTGAGTGTGTGCATGTGTAAGTTGATTTGTGTTTATACCAGCGAGAGCAGCAGAGGGTGTACTTGGCTGTCCGTAACCATAGCGATTAACAGCAATGACTCTGAACTCGTAGCTGATCCCCGACCTCAGGCGCTCCAGCGGCACTGAAACGGACCTGCTGCTGGGAGGGAGGAGTCTGATGAAGGAGTCCCACACTCCCTCGTCTGCAGAGAGAGGGAGAAAAGAGAGGCGGAGAGAGAGGTTTGATGGACATGCAGACAGACGGGAGAGAGGGACCTCAATTTGAGAATTATTCCCTTTCAAATGTCACAATGTGATTACACAAAATTACAAACTGTCAAATTACATTTAAAATGATAATGATGATGATAATGTGGTGATGATCACTACTATTACAATTAATAAAATGAGTATTATCATTATTATTAGTTGTAGAATAATACCAGAGTCTACAATCCCTCCTGCAGAGTGTTCAAACAGCTCGCCACAGACGCTCCCTTTCTGTATTTGATACCTCTGGTAATCTTTATTACAAAATTGCTGCTGACTTGATTTGCACAGCGGGTCTGTATGAATCTGCAGAAAGCTGCGCCCAGCGAGGTTTAGAGGAGGGTAGAACTTAACCTCCCTTTAAATTAGTGAGAAGAGCTGGTGCACATGATGAGGAGGTGCATGTCAAGTAAGTCGGTGGTTGACCTGTGTGTGGTGTTTGTGTTTGAGCTTACCTGATGCACGCGCCTCAATAACGTATCCAGTGACAGGTGCTGCGCCGCTCTCTCCCTCTGTCCAGGTGATAGTGAGCGCAGAGGACGTCTTGGTGATGGACATTTCCAGAGGTGACCCAGGGGAGCCTATAGTGTCAGAGAGGGACACATACATTACACACACTTCATTTCCTGAAAAAGTATCCGAACCTCTTCCATAACCACTGATTACTTTGTGGGTTTATTGATGTAAAGAGAACAACACAAACATGTCAAATAACTTCTATAACTATAACTACACCCTCAGGATGTAGACTCCAGTAGTTGTATTTGGGTTTCTATTAGAATATGTTTACATGCTTCAATGGCCAACAAAACACCCTTTTTCCCTCATACTGTCTTTACCGGAACACCTGTATTTACACTCTGTCTGAAAAGCTCTGTTTTAGGGCTTGTCTCTTTAACCCCCCTCCAAAAAAAAAAAAAAAAAAATCCCAGTGTACTCTGATTGGTCAGCATTTCCAGATTTTCCGTACCTCTGCATCTCTGCACTGCCATCACAGCCATAAAATTACTGAAACAGAGTATATCAGCACTTTTTACCTTGAAGATCACCCATAAAAGCTTCTAAACTAAAATCTTCACAACCAGACATGTTCCAGCAGGAATATGATCCAAAATTGAGGGGTAATCAGCAACATCTGCAACCCACATTATGTTTTCCTGACATCAGCATGTAGCTACATGTAGCAGTGTATGTAAATGTAAACACTTCAATAAGCGTACTTAGAACAGATGAAATCCGAAATCACGAACCAGTAAAGTTGCAGATACAGTCTACATCCATGTCTGTGAAACATGAATGCTTCACACACATCTTCCACCCGGCAGCACAAAAGATCTGTACAATCAGCACAGTTTCAAGATTACCCAAGATTAGCGTCACCAAGTCAGTACCTGATCAGCTGTAACCTCTTCTGTTATGATGTTGAGTAATGGCCTGGCAAATGTGACATCTTGTGACATCTCGTGATATTACGGAGAGAGCCCTCCGCTTAATGAGACAATAACAAACAGACCAGATCAAGTAAAGGGAAAAAAGACACTTCAAACACTCTGAACCTGTCTGAGTCAAAAATAACCACTTTAAATGGACATACAGTGACGGTGTTCAATTGCCCCATGTGCTTTTATTACAGCCTGTTGCACGGCTGCCGGCAGCTGCCTGCTCCCTCAGTACGGGACCAATTTCAAAAACTGTTGTTCACATCAGTCTCTTTGACCAGTTTACACAACGAAATAGGGTCCAGGATGAAAATTGCTGACGTTATCCTTTAAGTCCCTACAGTATGCAGATGTTTGTCTCCAAAACATGACTGAATAAGTACACACACGCACACACACGCACACACACACACACACACACACACACACACACACACACACACACACACACACACACACACAGAGTTACAGCCATGCCTACCTTGCACAGGCTGAGCACTGATGTTTGCTTGGATGGGAGGTCCATAGCTGACCGTGAGAGCCTGAGCACTGAACGTGTACGTTGCTCCTTTGACCAGGTCTCGAACCTTCAGCCATCTCTGCCAGCTGCCCCGCACATCCACTGTCACCACTTTAGTCACTCCTGCTCTCACACAGACAATTCAAAAGAAATGTGAGCATCCTCCTCAACATGTATTTGTGTGTGAGTGTGTGTGCATGTGTATAAGGCATATGTGTGCACACCTTGTACAGGAGCAGTGGGCTGGTAGATGACCCTGTAGCCCTCTAGCTGTCCATTAGGAGTGAGTGGAGCTCCCCAGGACACATTAACACTTCCTCCTGTCACCTCTGAGAAGGACAGGTAGCTGGGCTGGCTGGGAGCTGTGGGACATACGCAGGTTGACGAATGAAATAAAGAAAATCATGAACTATGATATGAGGCTTGTTAATGTGGTTTTTGAGGAGCAGAAATGTCACCACTCCCTACCGGACTGCAGAGTGCGGGCCCCGCGGGGGTCACTGGGTGGGCCATCTCCAGCCGTGTTGAAGGCAGTCAGAGTGACCAGGTAAGGTGTGTAGCTGGTCAGGTTGGTGAGGTGCACACGGGTGTCAGGGACAAAAATCACCTTGACTTTCTCAGTCTGGTTCTGCTTGTCCCTCTCCCAGTAGTGGATCTGCAACATAGCAAAAAACACGGTCAACAACACTGGCTGTGTTTTTCCCCAAACGACTTCCAATCCTCCCGTTTTCTCCTCTGCCTCACTTAATTTCTGCCAACTATATATATAATTTACATTCTGTCCATTCCTCCTGAGGTCTCCTGATCGATCCATACTATACAAGTGCTCATGTGCTGTTTTACAAGGAGAAGAAGTTGGTTATGGAGAGATTTGTTTTCGCCTTGACAGTTTAACAGAAGGGTCAATTAGGTGTAATTTCTTCCAGGAGATACCACTGGTCTGAGTTAGATGTACATAAAATAATTTTACTCTATTTCAAGCAAAAGTATCTGAATGTAGCTGAGGATAATTGACATGTTTTCTTTCTCGCACTCATACTTTAAACTATGGACTACCTGCTGACAACTAAGGTCAGTGTAAGTTCTCCTTAAATACATAATTTCATCATATGTTCAGTGAAATAAAATGGAGGTTACAAGCATGTCATACCAGAGCTGTTGTAATTAAATAGAATTAATGGCAACTTGTACATAGCTATAATAATGTCCCAATCCAAGACCTAATTATGACATTTTTTCTTTAATTGACTCAGCACCTAATAATACAGAAGTGCCTGAAAACCAAACCAACAAGGATGCCTGACATGAGCCGTACACTGTTGGCCAAGTAATTAAACCTAAATTTAGTGTATACAGTGTGCAGTATTATAAAGCCTCACTCAAACAGCTCTGCAATCATATGTGACACTTGCTCATTTGAACTGATTCAAGTAATCAGACAATCAAAAATATAAAATGTAGTCCATGTGTCACTGTCCATGCTTAAGTAGAACAGATAATTACGGACGTCACCATTAACTTTGACAACACTGGTCGGTAATGAAGACACACAAGCTACTTTGGTCAAACCCTGCACACTTTAACAGAACAAAGGTCACCTGATTATTGTACCCAGTATGATGGGATCAATATTAAGCCCCTGTAGTGTGTGAAAGTCACAATTTAATGATGCCAAAAATGGCCTTTTTCCAATAAAACATTTTCTAAGCTACGATAAAGTAGGCTCTGTGTTAGTTATCATCGAGGAGTGTTGTTTCTGTGGCTTTTTGGCACCTTAGACAGACCAATTTATCACTCTTGGTGAAGTTTCATATAACTGTGCTGATCTGAGAAATGTGTTACTTAACTGACTTTGAGAAAACAAAGTATTCTAGATCTCCTGAATGTGTGACTTTTATATTGCGGTCTAGGTCACACTTTAATGAAACAGGTTGTGTATAATGAGAGGAAAAAAGATAAGCAATATACTTGACATCTTACTGCCAGTAAACAGCCTATATAAATGCATATCCAGCAACAAAATCTGTTTGATGCATTAAACAGCTTGCCTCCTGCTCATAACAGCACCGGACAGGTGCATATCCACTGTAATATTCTTCAGAGCTGCTACTTGCTCTAAATGTGTACTTTTACAAATCACTGCATGGTGTTTAATCTCAGCTGAATGTTGAGGAAACATTTTCATCTACTAATGTCGTACACAACAGCTGACGGCCCAGGGGAAGAAAGGCTTTGTTTGAAGAGGGAGCTGCGTTGACTTTACCCACACATACAGCCATATCAGATACACACTAACAGCAAGGTTACAGAGGTGGTTGAGCCTCATGAATTAGAGATGAATCAGAAGAAGTATCTTGGATAGACAGGAGCCTTCGGTGTCAGAGAATAGCCACAGCAGCTGTTACAGTACTTATTCTCATGATGGCTATTTTATTTTGAGCTCAGATGTTTTAGCATTAAGAGCAAATTCACAGAAATATGTGTCAGAGCAGAGTATGTTCTTGACTGAATGTGTTTAACCACAGCACATTAACATTTTCCCTGACAAGCATTCAACGACAATCGGCCACCCAGGTTCCTAATCAAACTGTACATGGCTCCTCAGCTCACGCAAACTGTAATCAGATCATGAAACTGTAGCTTTATAATTACAGACAGAATGGACTTCTTTTTTTGTGGACCAGTGGCCATTAAGATGGATACAAAGTGAGAAATTGACGGATATTGATGTGACTGATTTGATGTATTTGGCATTGGTGTCATGTCAGCCAACAATAACCATCACCTTCTCCTAGAGGTGGTGATGCCGTATTTCTGCACGTTTCCATAAAGCTTACGGATACGGGCCAAACGGAGCAGTACCACCGGGAACCGTGGGGGCAGTGTTGCTGTCACTACCCGATACGTAGCTCTAGTGAGACACGAAGAAGAAATAACAATTCAATTTCTCTCATCGGCAGTACTAGAGAAAATAATTCTCCGTCCTCCAGTCACGATGCATTTAACGGCCTCACCGACCACCGCCTCCCTCAACGCTGCCTCTGTTTTTGTCTTTTATGCAAGAGGTACATTATCAATATCTCCTCCACAGTCGCCATGTTTGTTTTTGAGTTTGTTCTTGTCATAAACTTTTGACGCTGGGCTGCCTCCTGGTGGATATATTGGTTAACATCCATGCCAACGTAAAGGGCGCATGGAAGTATGTGGGCAGTGACGGTAACATCGTTTGAAACGGACGTATACATTTTCGTACGTAAGGGGAGCATAAATGAGCCCTAAAAGGGTTGGACTTACTCTGTGTATTAGTCATGGGTGTGTTTTGGGTGTATCATTCAATAAGCCAATCAGAGTGTCACCTCTCATTCCCTTTAAACGAGGCGCGATTGGAGCGCACAGCGGAGAGCTAGTTAGATGGTGGACCTACCAACTGGAAAGAGTGAGCGTTTTACAGCTGAGGAGACGATAAATGTATCTCTATTTGATTACAGTAACACAGCTGCAAACTAATAAGTTCACATCCCTCTCTGACCATTAAGACATGTTTCTGATAAATATTTTAATTTGCACAATAATAACCTTTCACATTGTAATCATATTTTTCTTTGTTATCTTTTGCATATGTGTGGCTGCTTCATGTGTGTCTGAGCAGAGTGCACGCGCGTTGTGCACCTGCCTAGAGACGCATATTACTAACTTGTTTAACAAACGAAATACTGCGCCGTTGACTTTAGACCAGGTTTTTGTTGGTCACTGGCGCATTTGCTTGTTACGTCATCTAACTAGCAACGCACCATGACTGCGCCTAACCACTCCTCATTTTTAGACCAACACACCCAGAGAAGCGCAAGTTCATTTGCTAGTTAGACGACGAGGACGCAGGGCGTGAAAATGACAACTGTGCCTGCATCTAAATAGCAATGACACTTGCGACATGGATTATGCACCATCCGCCGTCCGCTTTAGACCATCTAAATAGGGCCCACAGTCTTTGATCCCATGGGAGCTGCAGACCAGATTTTCCTGCACATGTGTTGCACCCCAATGACATGACATGATATGACATCATGACTTCAAAACTTTAACCTTTAATTTAACCTCCTTGATATGATTGTGGTGCAGAGTGTGGCTTTGACAATGGCAACTCCCACCAATTATCCAATGTAAACTGCTCGCCTGCTGTAGGTTTATAGGTTTATATACTTTATATTTTTGTGTTGGTCTTTGCTCTTTTTGACGCTGATGAAGACACAGTGGCTGTGAAACATTAGTCTGTTTGCACTTTTAAACGCTGTTAACTGATCAGTGCACTCTGGTCCTGTCTTCTTTCTCAGAATGCAACAGATCAGTGCTAACACTTTCTTTTTCTTCTGTTACTGTATACTGTCCACTATGAAACATAATTAACATGGCTTCAGTGTGTACTGACAAGACAGCACACACACTGATCTTAACCGATACCTCATATTTAGCAGGCCAGGGATGTTTAAAATGGTTTTAGTATTCAGATGTGTGGCAGCAACTGAAGGGAAGTGATTTATTTTAGTAATTCAAATAAATCAATGTTGTTTTTTGTATGCATTTTATCTGCTACACATATACACAGTATTTTTCCAAATCTGTTTCTGTGCAGTTTGATTTATAAAGTGAAACAAAAGCCAAAAGCTACTTTTTGTCTATTTTGTTATTATTTCTAACAGAAGGCACTACAAAGCACCATAAGCTATATTTACAGCTTCCAAACTTGGAAGTAGCAGCTTATGAGTAGCACTTGAGGGCAGCATTATACCATCTCTGTCCTTCCACATGCTCTCACAGTAATGAGATACAGAATAACTCATCCATATATACTCAATTCAAAATCAAAATGTATTACCTTCTGCACAAAAGTGGTATTTCCATTTAGGCGACATTCCTCGTGATATTTTATTCTAATGGTTTGGTATAAAGTCCGGGCCATTTTGTAAACCACTCTCCTGTTGTGTAGAGGATCTATTTTGGTATTTGGTAAGAGCGTGAGACCATCGGGATTAGTCTTTAAAAAAAACAACAATTCGAAGCTGTCGTGAATGAACATGATTATGATGTGATTTGATGAGATCCTCAAATGGATTTTCCTTTACCTCTTTTGTTAGAGAGTTGATTTTGGATCTTAAGTCTTGATGAAAAACAGAGGCTCGATGTTTGCTTTGCAAAGGAGGAAACACTTCATCATTTTCAGGTTTTTGTTTGAATGCGTAGCACTGCTATTAGAAATGACTGACCTATTTTGGCAGGAATAGCATGATGGATTATTTTGATGAAGTATGAAGAAAAAATATCTTCATACTCCGAGGGAATGCTGCAGTTTTGGAGGGCTTCACTCAAAATATGAATGACTCATTTGGACAAGTCTGCCCACACATTTGATAGTGTGCAACCTGGTGTGTGTGAGTAATTCCGCTAGGATAGTTTGGTATTACCTGTAACCCATCATGTTCAGTGTGTTTAACAAGCCCTCTGGAGCATTTCAGTAAACGTCAACTGTCGAAAAATACACTTGCAATGAAGTTTACCTTCAGCCCTACCTGCCGTCTGCTCTGCTCATCTAACAGAGTAGGAGTGTTAACAGAAGTCAGAACCTATAAATTCATTAAACATTCTTTCTTTGCTCTATTTCTCTCGTCTTAATCCCGTTAACCCCCTCTGCCTCACACTCCCCTCCCCGTGTCCATCCGTCTCTGGTAGTTTAAACGTATTCCCTCGATCCTCTCCTCTAATCAGGATTCTACAGGGATCACTTGCTCATCTCATTCCTTCACTCTGCAAATATTACATTCCCTTCTTTCTTTCTCTATTCCCCCCTCTGCTCCGGCAGAAATCAATGTGTCTAAAGCAGGACAGATAACCTTGTGTTTGAAGTACTAAGAGCGAGGGGGTGGGACAGGGGAGTTGAGGGGGAGAGACAGGCAGAGGAGTGATATTGAAACCATTAAAGGATATTCAGATTCTTCCTCTAACTTAATTCTCTCTCTTCCTCTACAGGACACTTGAAGGTGCAGCAGAGCAAAACCCCTCCAAGACAAGAGGAGAGACATTTAAAATGCAGACAGAAACAGTGCAGTGTGCTTCCTCTACCACATGGACACTCATAGTATAAGTACTTGTATGTGTGTATGTGTGTTTGGGTCTTTTTCTGTCGTGTGTCTTGTGTGTATTTCCCCCTAGGAAATCTTTGTGTGTATGTTTTTCTGGTTGTCACCTTGTATCCTTGAATGAGTCCATTCTGGGTCTCGAGGGGGGGGGTGTCCCAGGTCACTTCCAGGATGGAGGGAGACACGGCGGACACTCTAATAGACTGAGGGGCCACCGATGGAGCTGCAGAAGATGAGGTGTTTTGTTAGACAGTTACCGTAGGTGTGTGTGTGTGTGTGTGTGTGTGTGTGTGTGTGCAGCTGGGTGTTAGAGTGGGAAGTAGGAGAGATATGTTCTACCCTTCCAATTAGGATGGGCCTAAGGCAGTACCTTGTTACTCCACTATACCACACATATGCATGAACACTCAGCAGTGTGCACCTGAGGCTAAAGAAAAGGCCATATCACCCCGTTTCATCATCCCCCTCCAGCCTTTTTCTGCCTCCCCCTGCTTATCCTCACCTCTTACTCATCTGCATGTGGTATGTATGGCCTACACGCACAAACTACATACACCCCTTGAATAGGAATGCAGTTTTGGTCTGAAGGAGGGTGTGTAAGACTGTGAGGGAAATCGCAAAAACTTGGAGGTGTTTCTATCATAATGTGCAAATGTGTTCACCCACACTCGTTTGTGTGTCTCTCTGCATGCCTTGGAGTAGTGTGTGTGTGTGTGTGTGTGTGCATATAAGTGTGTGAGAGTGATGTATTTGCACTTCCGTCTGTGTAATGGATCCATGGTTTGAATCTAGTTAAAGTTAAACAGGGGTTGGACCGCCATCACTAGAAAATAGATGACTTTGTGGAGCTTTTGATGACATTCAGATGTGTCCAGATGTATGCGCACTCACACTTAACGTGCACACCCTCAGACACAGACATAAGGCATGCCACTCGAGGGGCAATGAGACCAAAGCAGGAAGCATGGACAGGGCAAAGCAAGAAAGAGAAAAGGAGGAGAGAGCCACGGAAAGGACAGGAGTGACTAAGCAGACAAAACAGAGACAGGAATTATCAAACACCCCAACTCAAGGTCCTTTGATAGCGTCTTCCAGAGGTTTCACACATATCACAGAGTCCTCAAAAGCAGATGATGTGCTACAGATGAAACTGTGACAGCTACTGAGCTTGTATGTGAACATATCCTTCTCCATAACAACTGAGCAAATTCCATCTGCTGATGAAACCATTAAAGCTCTGGAAAAAGGGAGAACATTAAAGAGGAACACCACCTAAAAAAAGATTTCCAATGTTATTTCTTTGACCTAGGGAAGTTCAATCAATATTTGTGAACATTACCTACTCTCAAAGTCCTTGTGATGTCATAGGGTATAAAGTCTGGAGCTGCTCCATACACACTGATTGGGAGACTGATTTTGTGGACCCACTGAATGTTTTCTTTTTTATACCCAAATGAGCTTTAACCTATCGTAATGTTCTCGGTTCTGAAACAAAATGTACCCATATACTCGGATCATTCCCCTGAGTGCTCTCACTGTCATCTCGAACATCTTTCACGATTCATTGTCACTGGAGCAGCTGCACCTTCTATAATATGACATCACACATTTGAGTTTTAACACTCAAGCTTTTGGATTTGGGAGAGTTGTTAATGTTTGCTAATATTCTAGGACCATCTTAGACCACAGGAATAAGATGTATGAATTTTGAAAAAGGGCATAGTCCCCTTGGTCCCCACATTTCCACTGTGTGGTATGACACAGCATGGCTCTACTCAACTTACTCCTTTCACGTTTTCCATTATAAAAAGTTTTGGTAGCACCTGGCACTTTTTTTGGTACCATCTCGTTTGAGGTTCTAAGCAAGCTGAGCCGGTACCAGAGGGTGGAGTTAAAACACTGTAGACCACCGACTGGTCAGAGACAATTGTCACATAAGACAACTGCACAAACCCGTCATTGTTTACCAGCCAAGCTACCATCAATAGCAACTGCATTTTTAAATTTTACTTCATCCAGGTTTTAAAACATTGCAACACTGGTAAAAGTCTGCCATATGGTATACTGTACAGTTGACAAAGTGTCTTTGTTCAGGTGCCGATGAAAGGAGTCAGCGAGTGTCATGTTAAAGATGATGCGACTGTGGTGTCGTTATGGTGATCAGTTGAGCTAAATCATGCAGTGAAAATGCTGCACCAGTGGATGTTGAGATGGGATTGATCTGTTCAACTATTTCCAAGGTCAAGAACGTGCTTTCATGCTTAAACAACGATATCTTTTGAAGTATGATTTAAAAGAAGAAGAAGGCTCTTTGTGACCCGCTGTAACTGATATAAGAAGAGCAATGATCTAAAGTTCCTTTGTGTACCCAAATTGCTACCTTCTAACAACGCACTACATGTTGAATACAGGGGAGAGAAGAAGCTTGACAGTCAACAATAAAACAGCTTTTCTGTTGTGGTATCCTACAAGAATAAACAATCATAAACAAGATGTGTAGATAACACATGAAACTGTCACCAGTCCAACAGCTTGCTTCTGTTTCAACCTACCTGCCTCTCCAACAGACACCTCGACTGGAGTGGAGGGTGGGCTCTCTCCAATGATATTGTAGCTGGTCATAACAATCTGGTAGCGTTTGAACTTCTTTAGTTCTACAAGAAACAAAGATACTTACATTCATACAACATGGATGCAAAGTGAATATGTTAGCTGTCATTGCAACTTGTTCTTCTCATTCTAGAAGCTGGCTGTTTATCAAGGTAACTAAAATTAAATCTAACATAAAAATCCTGGGAGCTTTACCTCCCAGTTCCATCCTAAATTACTTACGTGTCAACTCAAACTCCGTTAGTGAGGCACTGCTGACTGTCTTGAAGGTGCTCTTGGCTTGGGAAGAGTGAGAGAAAGATGGAGGGAGGTGTTTCAAGTTCAATAAATTGTGAAATCATAATAAAATATTCAATAAAACCGTGTTTAAGAGGAACACATTGGAAAGCATTATGCAATATTCTTGTCAGACTCAAGAGCAGATACTTAATCTACTACATGTATAAAGCCCTTCAGGCTGTACAGTAAATAATAATATTTAATTATTCCAGAGATAAAGTACAATATGGGTGGCCTCATAAGAAAATAACAGTCCAGTGAAGGCCGTCTGCTTATTCTCTCACCACGGCCACACAGTTCTTGTGCCTTGGTACCTGCTCTGATGTGAATACATTATCTTCTTTTAGACCTCTGAATGACTGAATCTTTTCACAATGACTCAAAAATGAGTTTGATGGAAAATGACGGCCTTGTGCTGCAGCATGAACAATTAATTTTTTTTTTTTATTAAACAAGTATAATTGTCAAGTTATAAGCCTATATTATATATAATAGTGAATGTACTTAGATTATTTAAAGTAATTCATTCCTATTTATGACTAGCACACCCACTGTGTAGTATTTCAGCATAGTGGGAAATCTGGTCCTGGACACTTTCAGAGTTTAGACTAACGTTAACAGTTCTGTTTGTCTTTTCATTGGATTTGGAGAAGTTAGATCTCTTATTATGAAGTAAAACAAAGAGTGAAATTAAGCATGTAAGATGGGTGCAACCAAACAGGGTTATGATAGAGTGAAATAACAGTCTGATTTTCCATTTTTTTCTCATCAATCTTAGAAGAGGACCAGAAGGATCCCACTCTACACTGTAATACACTAACATGCTGTTAGCTATCTACATGGATCGTCACCTAATGATGATTTTTTTTTTTGCCTGGGACATGCAGCTTTAGCCCTGCTTTTTAGAGAAACATCATGCATGTAGCCACCAAAAGCATATTTAAGACCTTTTTACAATGTTCTTGTGATAAAACAAGTCAGCTGAAAACATTAAAAGTCAACAGCAGAATGAGCTTTTAACCAACCCGCGGAGAAAGCACACACACAGATTCAACATATACAATATAAACTATTATAATCATAATAGACAGAATTATTAACCTGATAAAAATGGTATGTAACTGTAACGTTATATAACTAAAGCATGTTAGTTTACATGTTAGCAGCACTATAGCATGTTAACTGAACTGTGAAATGAAAATAGCATCAGCTGTGAGCTTTTAAAATAATGTACTATTAAAATGAACAATAATATCTACTGTAGGTGTGTGACAGCACAGACTGCTCGTGTCTGTAGCTTTAACTCGCACACTCACTTGTGTCAGCCCTCCTAGCTGGGGGAGTTTGAGTGTGTTTCTTTATGGGGTCAGAGTGTGTGTTTATAAGTCAGAGGTTACCGAACGAACAGCCAACACAGATGCAGCCTGGAGCCTGGATGTGGAAAATGATTTCGATGGCGCGTTTTATGAGCGATGTTTAAAAGTTCATACTTTTTTTCGTTAGGGATTAAAGTTTAAATGTACTTTGATCTGCACAGAGGGATGGTGTTCTTGAAGAGTTTTTGGGGAATCCAAAGTAATCCAATGCTGCTGGTTTTAATTTCTTTTCGTGGGGGATGGAGATAGGTGATATAAGCCTCGCCTCTCTCTGACATTTTCTCTGCAGCGTGTGTGTGTGGCGCAAGTTGTCTGACAGGCAGTTGAGGCAGACAGAGATACACAGGTGAGATTCTCTGTCCATTTCTTTTTTTTTCTAATACCATAGATACAGTATGATAAGCATCAATTTTTATACAATGTTACACTGTGAAACCGGTATACCGCTGCACCTGTAGTATCAGTACTACTCACTTGTAATGAGGGCACTTGTGGTGTTGTTTTTGGTTGCCTGGACTTCTGCTTCAGCGAGAGTGGAGGTGTTAACTGGGAGCTCTCTATAATAAAGCCGGTATCCGGTCAACACCCCATTGACAGTGTCGTCACCGGGACGCTGAAAACATGCAAAGAAGCACACACACACACAGACACACGTACAGAAGCATTAGTGCTCAATTTCTCAAAAGAAAGCCTGTGCTCATTTTCATTTTCTTGGTGTAGGGAGGTGAGTGACAGGACACTGGCAGGCTGGCAGAGCAGTATTTTATCAGCAGAGTCCACTTTAAAGGACTGGTGGATTGGGCCGGCTGTAACCCACACAGACAAAGTGATGCTTCAGTGGGTTTGGCACTCTTGTAAAGGATGATGAAATTGCTGGTGGCTTTGTTTTTCATTGTCTCCTTCTGCTTTGACATAAGGCTAGAAGGAGTGAGAGAAGACACTTCCAAACACAAGAGGAAGAGTGACAAGTAGTGAAGTAGCCAGGCAGTATTTACTGTCTATTCACATATCACGGCTGCTCTAAAACCACCTCTGTTTTTCCATAACTCCTCTTTCTCTCCTCTGGTGTTGGACATTGCTGATGTTTGCTTCTCTTGCCCTCTAACATTCTCTCCTGCTGGTATATCCTCATTAAGAGTTTGAACATTTTTCTCCCCCAGCCAGGACGGTCTGTCCCTCCGTCTGTCCGACCCTCCCACTCAACATCTCTCCAATCTGTCTGTGCTGCCCTCTGACCTTTTCTGGTTCAATAAATAATGATAATTGTATCCACACACAACAGCATGAAACACACGTACAAACATGGCATACAGTAAGTCTGCAGGGGTTTTCCAAGTATAGGTGATTAACCTGCACTCGTTTGTGCAGTTTCGTTGTGTGGGTCTCTGTGTGTGTATACTGTGTGTGCATTTGTCTGTAGGTACCTTCCACTGCACCAGGACTGAGGTAGTGGTTGTTGGTTTCACTGCGAGGATCACTGGAGGCTCGTCAGGCACTGGAGAGAAAACACACAGAAAGACAGTGAGAGAGAAAAAGTCATGCAGGCAGTCATGCTGCTACAGTCTCTCTCTATTGTTTTCAAGTCCACATATCCCCTGGTCTTCTTTTATTTCGTTCCTCCCCAGTGTTCCCAGTCTCTCACCATCCTGCAGAGTTGTTACAGCCTCCGTCTCTTTGCTGAGGACACTGTCTCCTACATCGTTCGTGGCCAGCATCCGAAACTTGTATGATGTAAAGGGCTTTAATCTATAGACAAAAACACAAACAAATACACATGAACGGATGGATGTAAAAAAGCAACTAAAGCTACTAAATATCCCATTTATTCACATGCCATTGATTTCAGCTGGACACCTCTTTCTTTTTCTTAAATATCTGTTTATTTTTTTGTCTGTGAGCACAAGAGGTCCTGATAAAAAGCCAATAAAACTCCACCATTACCATTACACTCATAATTTTGTGCAAGGGACTTTTGTATGACTACTGAACTGCACCAGAGTTCGTTTTTCATCAGACCGAGACCACCTCTTCAAGAAGGTCTCGGTCTGGTTGTTTTGGTGCACACTTGAGTGCGATTGCTGTGTTCACACCTGCCCAAACGAACCGCGCTTAGGGGGCAAACAAACTTGAATTTGATTAAACCAAACCAAACAGGGCAGGTGTGAAAGCACCCTCAGTGTGGACGCTCCTCAGAACCAGCTGTGCCTTAAAAGCATCACAGTCAGCCAAAACTTTTCTCAGTACTCATAATTAATTTTCACTCATTGCAGTAGATGCACCAATTGCTTTTCATTTTACTTGAAAGTTGTACGATGGGGGTGAGCATTACACTTCAGTGCCGCCTATTATCGTTGTACCGGTACTTAATTGTTTCACAGTTTATATTTGGACTGTCTAATTAGCTCATCAGTGGTCTGTAAAGAGCTCTGAATTGCAGTAAACTATGAGAGGTGCTAGATAAATAAAGTCTGATTTGATAAATACAATAGGAAAACAGTAAATGAGTTCATACAGCAGGTAATTTACAAGAATTACAACAATGCCAAAGCTGTAAAGCTATTTAAAAACAGATTTTTGTTTTCACTCAAGGTTTCTCACTAGCTCTCTCTCCTTTATCTATGAGATGTTTGTTAAGACGTCTATTGCTGATTTTTTTTTTTTTTTTTACATCAGCTTGTGGTTTTCTTCTTCTCTTACCACAAAAATGTTCAATGCAAGATATAAATAAAACAAACCGCTCATTGAAACATTACTCTACAGCACCACAAGTTGTCAAAAACTCCACTGGGTATCTTTAACTCTTCAGGAATATCTTCATCCAAACCCACCCCCCTTCTCACAGACATATTTTTGCTCTTTCAGTGGCAACTGAAGAGCTGACAAGGACTTAAATAATAATCATTTTACACCCTTTCTAATTGTCTCCCCTGCCAAAGTATTTTACTGTCATACTACCACAACATCTTATCTGCATTTCTCCTCTGTGCAAGGTGAATGCATTAATGAGCACGGAATAACAATTTGCATCAGTCATTTTGAAAACACTTTACTCTAGAGCCACTTACAATCAGCTGAATGAACAGGAACCCATTGTTAGCTGAACAAGTCTATGGCGCCTTACAGCATGCTAATAGTTTAAATGTATACCCTCTTCTGCACACCGTGGGGAACTGATTAAATTTTAAAAATGACAGTCGGTGATGAAAAAACAATTTACCCTATTTTTTTATTGTTCACATCTAATTATTAAGAAGAGCTAACAGGAGCGATTTAATCAATAAATTGATAAAATAAATACGAATTAAGATAAATTGTAACAGGAAGTATCTCCATCCCTCATCACTGTGCACACAACTACCTACAGAGTCCTTCTCTAGACTTTATTTAAACAGTTCCTAGGAGGAGAGGGTTATAAGGTCAAAATCTTCTATCATGGTTCTGGATATGTAATTTTATATCAGGTTAACTACCACTAACTGTTGTGTAAATTAAATTAAGAAATGGTTTAAAATAACCATACTGTACTTCATTACATTTGATTGCATTTTTTTCTTTTCTTCCATACAAACAAACTAAAAAAGTGCTTCACCTGAGACAATACTTGAGTTAAAAACAAACGATCCATCACAGTAAAACTAAAATTCTGTCGATATGGAAGCTTTAGGGTTCCTGAGAACAGTTATTTTAAGTGTTACAGCTTCACTGTCCTCCTCCATGTCTGTCTAAATCAGGTTACCTAGCAAGGCAGCTGCCTAAGTAAGGTCAAGAGATCACATGAGAATCACAAAATCCAGCCTTCATTTTCTACATAGCCTAAGTTTGATAGCTTCCACGATAGACACAGTATTGCCAAATCTCTACTGGTGGACACATTTCCACCGCTGCACAGCATATACCATCATATCGCCCCACCCTAGTTCCAAGCAAACTACAGACGACCAGTTGGAAATTCAGCAGGCGACAGGAGAACTGCTCAAGTGCCCTCTTGTAAAATAATGAGCCAGGCCCAATAAGGGACAAGGAAAGGCCCTATGGGGTTGTGGGTATCGTAGGAATAAGAGATCAAAGGCACCAAGCTCAAAGAGGGTGGGGTACCGACAGCACTGGGACGATGGTAAGGACAGTGTTTGAAAGTGTGTGTGTGTGTGTGTGTATACTGTACGTGTGTGTGTCTATGTTTGCATCAGCCTGGGGACTTCGATGTTTTGGTTCCAAAGATGTCTCGGTGGAAAACAACAATTAAGGTTGGATAACAAGTAACTATGAGTGTGAGCGTGTGGAGATGTAAGCTAATTCCTCCATCCGGCGCTGTAATGAGAGCATTCAGTGATAGAATGAGCCCGAAAATGGCATCAAAACAACAACAGCAGCACCACCATCATGGCAGATCGACTCTCCCCGAGGCAGGTTGAAACAGGCTGATGCAGACACACTGAAAGTGTGCTCTTCAGCATCTCAAATAGCTTTGTGAAGGCTTGCGAAGGAGCGTAAACAAACAGTCACGCAGCAGTAGAAACACGGACACATGATACACAACTAAAGCCTCATCATAGCTCTGCTACTTAGGGTTTCAGGGAAGTTGGAGTAGCCATTGAGTATGACCACTATCACCTGCTGCCATAATGACAGTCTCACCAGGGAGAAGAGGATGGAGGGATAGAGAGAGAGGGGTGGAAAAGGAAAACATGGAGCTCTCTTCCTGAGAATTAGTGGAAGTGAACAAAGGAAATGCCTTGTGATTTCTGAAAGAACTAGCTGTTGATGGATGGATGGATGGATGGATGGATGGATGGAGGGAGGGAGGGAAGGAGCTGGTGACAGAAGAGGAATGACAGAAGAAAAGGTAAAAACAGCTGGGGAGAGAGAGAGAGAGAGAGAGAGAGAGAGAGAGAGAGAGAGAGAGAGACTATGGACAAACGGCACACACAAACTTGAAAGCACAAAGGCAGAGTAAGGGAAAAAAAAGGTATTAAGAGAAAAAGACAAAGAGCACTTCCTGCTGTGCCTGTGTGATTATGTGACTGAGATTCTCCACGTTTCTGCAGTGATTATGATTACTCCGATCTCCCTGGTGGTGTTTTTTGTGGTTTATCTATTTATTTATTTATTTATTTTTTTTGCTTCACAAACCTTTTCGGCACTTCATGTGCTAAATAAATAAAGCTTTGAAAAATCACAGCATCCCCCCTCTCTCTGTCCACTCTTCTCCCCAATGATGCATAAACATGACAAGATTTTTTAACAACGGCTTTAACTAATTCAAGTCCAACATGTCATGCTAAGCAAAATCTCCACATGAGGCCTCTGTAACGAAAGAAAAAAAGAGTCGTGGAATTTCTATTTCTGTTTTCTTCATGGATGCTTGAGATGGCCTAATTGACTATTAGGTAACCCCCACCCCTCCTTAGATACTTGCACAGCACATATGCCTTTTGTAAAGATCACAGTGGCAGCTTTACCACTTCCTTGTTGTTTTTGAAACAGTGAGTCCTTCACTTCAGACAGCAGTAGTGTTTAGCACTTGTTGGCCCCTTTGCCTTCACTCTGCGGTCCAGCTCACCCCAAACCATCTCGATTGGGTTCAGGTCCGGTGACTGTGGAGGCCAGGTCATCTGCCGCAGCACTCCATCACTCTCCTTCTTGGTCAAATAGCCCTTACACAGCCTGGAGGTGTGTTTGGGGTCATTGTCCTGTTGAAAAATAAATGATCGTCCAACTAAACGCAAACCGGATGGGATGGCATGTCGCTGCAGGATGCTGTGGTAGCCATGCTGGTTCAGTGTGCCTTCAATTTTGAATAAATCCCCAACAGTGTCACCAGCAAAACACCCCCACACCATCACACCTCCTCCTCCATGCTTCACAGTGGGAACCAGGCATGTGGAATCCATCCGTTCACCTTTTCTGCGTCTCACAAAGACACGGCGGTTGGAACCAAAGATCTCAAATTTGGACTCATCAGACCAAAGCACAGATTTCCACTGGTCTAATGTCCATTCCTTGTGTTTCTTGGCCCAAACAAATCTCTTCTGCTTGTTGCCTCTCCTTAGCAGTGGTTTCCTAGCAGCTATTTGACCATGAAGGCCTGATTGGCGCAGTCTCCTCTTAACAGTTGTTCTAGAGATGGGTCTGCTGCTAGAACTCTGTGTGGCATTCATCTGGTCTCTGATCTGAGCTGCTGTTAACTTGCGATTTCTGAGGCTGGTGACTCGGATGAACTTATCCTCAGAAGCAGAGGTGACTCTTGGTCTTCCTTTCCTGGGTCGGTCCTCATGTGTGCCAGTTTCGTTGTAGCGCTTGATGGTTTTTGCGACTCCACTTGGGGACACATTTAAAGTTTTTGCAATTTTTCGGACTGACTGACCTTCATTTCTTAAAGTAATGATGGCCACTCGTTTTTCTTTAGTTAGCTGATTGGTTCTTGCCATAATATGAATTTTAACAGTTGTCCAATAGGGCTGTCGGCTGTGTATTAACCTGACTTCTGCACAACACAACTGATGGTCCCAACCCCATTGATAAAGCAAGAAATTCCACTAATTAACCCTGATAAGGCACACCTGTGAAGTGGAAACCATTTCAGGTGACTACCTCTTGAAGCTCATGGAGAGAATGCCAAGAGTGTGCAAAGCAGTAATCAGAGCAAAGGGTGGCTATTTTGAAGAAACTAGAATATAAAACATGTTTTCAGTTATTTCACCTTTTTTTGTTAAGTACATAACTCCACATGTGTTCATTCATAGTTTTGATGCCTTCAGTGAGAATCTACAATGTAAAAAGTCATGAAAATAAAGAAAACGCATTGAATGAGAAGGTGTGTCCAAACTTTTGGCCTGTACTGTATATACAGAGCGTGTCCTCTTTCATGGAGTCTACCATGGTGTTCCATAGTTGCCCAGAATGGACAAATCAAACACTGGCTCTAGATGGATGTGGTGTTTTCGCTTATTTGCACTGGCCACTGTCGTTCTTCAAAAAGCTTGGCACACGGGAGAAGTGTCAGTTGGTTGCAATGTTGTTGTCTTATCACTAGATGCCACTAAATCCTACAAACTACACCTTTAAAAGACAAATGTAGCTGGAGATTTGATCTGCTGTACATGGCTAGATAAATAAGCTATTGTTAGCTTTATTAGTTGGTTAAAACCAAACTCTTCAGTTGACTTTTTAAAGTTTGGTTCATGTAATACTATCTCGAGTAACCTCAGAGGTGTAGCTGGAGTGTAGACTTTTCTAAATCCAGTTAAAGAGCAGAGCAGAGATTCCACACAGCGGGGGACGGCTACATGCTTTTTAAAATGTAACCTGTAACCAACAAACTATGAAAGGCTATGTGGAAGCTTTGCTGGAATTATTACTGTAGGCAGTAAGCTAGTTAGCCAGTACTGCTAACATTTGCAGCTTATGTTAGAGCAGAAACATTATTTAATACATTCCTCAAATTTTTGTTTTTGTGTTTTTGATTTTGGAAACACTAAAAAAGACACCACCCTCTAAACTCTTTATAAATGGAGTACACAAATTATACAGAGATTGACAAGCTTGCCACATGTGGTTATGGTTGCTAAGCTATGATAAGACAATTACTACACTGTCGCCACACAAGCAGATGTGTGTGTGTGTATGTGACTGTACGCTACATAATGTGTACATATGTACCTGTCAACGGTCCAGGTGGTCACGTTGTGCGGGATGTCAGCGGTATGTGTGTTCCAGTCCCCGCTGGGCAGCTCTTTGACCTGCAGAGTAAAGTATCTCAGCGGGGAGGAACCTGAGCCACCCATCACCCAGTGGAGGCGGAGACGGCGAGATTCAACCCCGTCCTGAGGAACAGCCAGCTTCCTGGGTGGCTGGGGACGCTCTGTGGAGGTGGTAGAGAGGAGAAAAGAGGCAGAGGAGAGACGAGAGGGGGAGAAAGGGGGAAGGTAGAAAAAGTGATGTGACAAGGAATTGCAATTTCATTTTAAACATTCATTCATTCATTCATAGATGATGTAATTTAGGAGTTTACCATTGTGTGATTGTGTCACCATATACCACTACGTACATTCATGTGTGAGTATTTTTGGTCATCTGGGACAGACTTTAAAATGAGCTTTAGATATACAGTTAGCTCACAGATTTAAGGATAGAGCACCGCACATTACCACATGTCAAGAAGGTGCTGGATGCAAAGCTGAAAATAATAAAAGGGTCAAAACATCTACTGCAAACTTAAACACATTGGTGACGGAGATAAATGCAAACAAAAGTCTCCAGAACAGCTTCAATGCTCCTATTTTAACTGTAGTAGTGATATCATTTGCGTGTGTGTGTACTTGTATGTATTACTCATGTTATGGGGACATAAATCTATTTTCACACTCATATTGTGTGGATTTGCCTTCCTTTTTGGGACAAAGCGCGAGTCCCTATAACATAAATCATTAAATTTTGGGGCAAAGGTTCAGCTTGGGTCAAGGTTAGAAAAGTAGTGGTTAGGGTTAGACTCCAGGAAATTAATGTAAGTGAATGTAATGTCCTCTGAAGTGATGGAAACACGATTGTGTTTGTGTGTTTGTGTGTTTGGGGACACAATCACACAATCGTTGACCCGAGTTGAACCTTCGCCCCAAAATTGAATGATATATGTTATAGGCACTTGCGCTTTGTCCCCAAAAGGAAGGCAAACATGTAAGTGAATGTAATGTCCTCTGAAGTGATGGAAACACGATTGTGTTTGTGTGTTTGGGGACAGACACCGCAGTGAGAGGACAGGCTAGAGACAACACAGCTTCTCTTCACAGCACAAATGCGTCTCAATTTTATTTAGAGGAAGGAAACATTTTCTAGATGATACTGTGAATTTGTTTCAATTTTAGTCAGACTTTGGATTGATTTATTTTCTAATAGAGGATGCATTGCTACCTGTAATGATCCTTCCTTTCTTCTGCTCTGCTGTCACAGTCATACCAGGATATTTTCTCTGGCTGAAGTCTTAGTCATACACAGCATTACATGTTAAGAGCCAATTAGAGACCCTGCTACATGACCAAACAAATTAGTTTTCTAAAGCAGAAATCTAGCTGGGGAAATCTCATGTACAGCAGAGACTGTAACCTGGGTACATATAGGCATGTAAATGTGTTGCCTTTTATACAAACATCTGTACTCAATGTTTCTCCACTCATTAACTTTTTGCTTTCGTGTGCCTCCTATCAGTAGCTACACATGATGAGACAAATTGTCACCTGGAAATACTAAGACTATAATGGACCATCCAGCAAATACCTTGTAACACAGGACAAGGGCAGCCCACATTTACATCACATACGCATCAGTGCTGCCACTGCAGTGCATACATATGTTTAAATGAAACAAGACATCTAACCACTGCAGCATCAAAGAAACAATTTCTCAACAGATTGCCGGTGTGTGTGTTCTTATTTGTCTGTGTCTCCGCTATTCAATTAGAAGATAAAAGATGACTCTGGGAGTCAGTATCTTTGCACAACTGTGTTGGCAGAAGCTGTGTGATTAGTGTACACATATGCACACACGCACGCACACAAACAAAAACACACGGTTGGGGGGTATAACTGTTTAATTTCAGGGGCATCAGATTATCGATTAAGTCTGGAAATTAAAGCATTATCGATTCCCTCTGAAGTTTAATTAATCTGCACTTATGTTCTCAAACATATGCACAAGCACAGTCACACACACACACACACACACACACACACACACACACACACACTTGCCTTCCTTCATTCATCCCTATCACAAGTAATTTAAGTCAAATCTGTTTGACTCCCTTCTTCCCTCGCGCCCTTGTTCTTCAGTCCCTTCAAGATTTGGCTATTCTCTCCCTCTTTTGTTTTCCTGATACCATCTGTGTCTCTCTGTCTGTTCTCGTCTTGTTCCGCTCCACAGTTAAGATCATGTTCTGATAATAAACTCATAATTGTCAGAACAAGTGCTGCCCTTTCAGCACTTACACGACTGTTTACTACTACGCCGGGGGAGAGGAGAGGAGAGGTGGTGGAAGAGAAGTGCACAAGAAAGAAGGGATGGTGTTGGTACTAGAAAACAGAAAAGATATGGTTGTAGGGGGATGAATTCTACTAAATATGCGACTATATGCTGCCCATTACCTTATCAGTTATCACCCTCTTGGAGACAAACATCAGCACAGATAAATCTCTCTGGAGGGAGTTGTTTTCATTCATGCACATGCACACAGCCTCACACACATACACCACACACGCACACTCAAAAAGCCAATTTTCTTTTTCTGGGGATTAAGTTGGTCTCTTCTGCATCATCAGAAAGAAATCTCTATTAGGCTATTCTGTCTATCTCACAGTGAGAATGGGCCATTATGTTACTGAAGTGGAACCACTGAACTCCATTCTTAAGAAACCCTGATAATGATGCTGCAGATGTTATGATATCTGATCCAATTAAAATGCACTACACAAGCTGATAGCTCCGAATAGGATATCTGACATCATGATTCCAGGTTTTCATAAAAATTCACTTCACTGTCACATTTTAATGTAGGGACTTTTGTAGCATTTCAATGTTTTACAAGACATACACGGTGCCGGCTGACAAGAGAAAATTGGAGAGAGAGATCAGGAATGACATATATCAAAGGCTGAGAGCCACGTTCAAACCAGAGTTATTCATGCGTTAGCCTACTGAGACACCACAGCCACTCTAACTTCTTTTTTAAAGTGATATTTCATTTTGGTGGAATAGTTCTCGGTCAAACTTCAACACCAGCTGGCACTTAAACCTTTTCTCCACATCTCTTCATCAGCTGATTATATTACCCTGCTCACAGTATGTATTACTACTGCAACCTGTGTCTGCTACATGTTTCTACATATGTCATTTTTAGAATTAATTTTAATAAATACTAAAAAATACATAACAACTTGTCTAAAAACAGGAATAGCAAAAGTACGTAATAAGACATATTAACACAATACAGTTTGCTAAACCACAATTGAAAGGGGGCAAAAATGTCATAATGGCAAATCTATATATCTATCAAAGTTGACATTGGATCAAATGACTACCTATAATGTGAAAAGTGTCACTTATAAGGAAGGACTTCAGTACTTCACTGCTTGATTTGGAATTTACTATTCTCCCCTTCCACATGACTTTTATATGTTTTTTTTGCCATATAAAAAGGGTAAAGTCTTATTTCACCATAGAGCTGAGTGCAGTGTATTCCTTTGCTCAGCGCCTCCTTGCCCTGCTGTTGCTACACCAGTGTGAGCTTCGCACCGGGGCACAATTGGTGAGTGTCTGCCTGTAAAGTGAACTGAGCTGAGGGAGGGTGGCCCTGGGGGTCCCATTTATTAACATTGCATACGCACAAAACGAGGCTTGAAAGACGCCATTTCCCACGCAAAAGTTGTGATAAAAAAAAAACAGACTTGATGGGAGAAACTTTGACCCATGCTTACCAACATTTTGGAGACAGGAAATTGGCGATGCTGATGGTGAGGTGGAAACCTGATTGTAGAAGTTGTCAAATATTTTGTGGCGCATTTTTTGACTTTTGTCAGTACATACATTTTCAGTATGGATCCTACGCATTGTTTTATAAATGAAACCCCTGGAAAGACGGTTCTTAAGTGCTGCATCAGACTTATGTCATGGCAGTAACAGAAAGTTCACTGAATTTTCTGATTTCAACTTTGAATTTAGGGGTTAATAGCATGGTTGTTCAATAAATGATTTTCAAGTTGCACTTGTTTTCCATTATTATTGTTATTGTTATTTCCATTTTCCATTGCCAATTTACATTCCTATTCTTACATTAGATTCTTCTCTTGTGAGTACTTAAACCAATATGGAAATTACTTAAATTGCCCATCTCTAGTTGCTTGTTGTGACCTATAGAGTTACAACCCTGCTCTGCAGTTTCCCTCAGCCTTCACAGAACATTTCAGCATCTCACAGCTCACTGTTTTAGTTCAACTCACAACTTAACTATTTTGGTTCATTGTCACTGCTCTCTTTAGCATAGTTTTCAGTAAAAAAAAACAACCCAGTGGAGCGCTTAGCGGCTAAAGAGCCATATATTTTACTCAGGAGCTGGTGTAGACCAAAACTAGAGCTAAACGAGAGTGTATATTGAACTTACACTCTTCAGGCAGACACAAACACAACTTCACATGAATGTCCATGTTGCAAAATAACTGTAGGATGTGTAACTATACAACAACAAGTCCACCAATTCAGAATATTGAGATAATAATATATCAGTGTTGTGGTTACAGCTTGTTTCCACTGCTCCCAATTAGCCAGAAGACAAAACAAATCTTAAAATGCAGGTTTAAAAGATGTATTTAAAAGATAATATTAAATTTCCTGCCACTGTTGTTTTGAAGAAGCATCTCAGGATGATAATATGATCATCGTTTGCCCTCGGTCTACACTGGAAACAGTCAGGCTTCTCTGGCTCTCAGAGAACAAACACTGCAGTATAAAACTTGTTGTCATGTAACAACACTGACTCCATCTGTAGCTGTAAAACTTATATGGGCTGATGCACTGTATATGTATGATGGATCTGCAGTGTTGACTTTTATAGCTTGTGCATTCAGCTGATACGGTTAAACAAGGTGATGAGAATTACGTGATGGGAGCTTTACAGTTTACCAACCTGTAGGGCCGTATCACATCCTAGTAAATACTACTTACAACTTCACACTCATCACAAAACAAAAAATGCCTCGAATCTGGCCTCGCTTTTGGGGAAACATTACATACCAATGTCTACAAGACATTCTCACACCTCTTCCTACCATACAACATGGAGCACAAAAAAGTGCAACAACATTCAGGTAGCCTATC